CAGCTCCAAATCTTACACGGAGTTCGTGAGCTGTAGAGCCTGCGTCCCTGCAATGAGGGCCGTGCCCGTGCGAAAGTTGGCTTCAATAATCTTGCCTTCTCAACCTTCTTTGAACTGGTTGCGAAACCTATCATGTGAGTCTTGAGACCAAAAACGTGGGAAGTCATGAAGGTGAGAAGAAGAGCCACTTCTGCCAGGTGGAACTTTTTTTCATCGGCCAGCATGTGCTGCGTCTCTTTCCTGTGGGCGAGATTCTGTGACGAGCACGTACACTGTGAAGAGCAGAAAAAGCAGGTGTTAGGAATGTTTGGAATGTTTGCATAAGGCATGCTACATTTTCTGAATCAAACAGCGGGGCGCTGGCAAAGCCTGGTGAGTGAGACTGCACCACAGACCCCGCTTGATTCAAACCTACCACGGACCTTGCCCCTGATGTGATTCCAGCCTCCAATTGCTGTCACATCAGTTGTACAAACATTTCAACGTGTCGAAGATACTATGCCGACTGGGAATTTATCCGGAATCAACAGCTTCTGTGCCACAGTGGAGCGGCGGAGCCTGACTTCCATTGTACTGCTGAAGTGAGGAAGGGACGGTGTTCTGATAGGTTTGGGTCGTCGACACTTGGGCATGGACCAGCTGTAAGTTGAACTGGCATCGAGGGGGAAAAGCCTTCGTTGGCACAATCTGAACCTGTGCAGAATCGAATCGAACACAGCGCAAGAACCCCGCCAAGGCAACAAAATTGGTGCGTAGCTTTGCTTAAGGCACGAGAGCGCCACGGGCACATGAGGGCCCTTGCCCTTCATTTTGTGCACTCGAACGTCCTGCCAGGCCGAGCAAGTTCGGAATTGATGCGGGCCGACGCTGTCACGGTGAAAAAACAACGGACTGCATCAGGCGGTCTGCAGCTGAATGCCGGTAAAGCGTGTCACGGAGACATTTTCGGATGTTCGGAGCTTTTGATTGCTCTCAGATCCGTCATAGAGCACTTGACACGATTGGAATGCAATCGACCAGAGATCACACCGAATCACGGCAAGCGCAAACCCACTTGAGCCGACAGTGGACTTCTTTGGTTGTTCTGATGGCGCAGTCAAGTTTCCTCGGCGATGGTAAGGCGAAGCGGGAATCCTTGGGCTCAGTCCGGTTGACTCGAGCTGAAGTGGCCAAGCATTGCACGGCTGGTGACTGCTGGGTCATCGTGAACGATCGGGTTTATGATCCCACGATTGTTAAAGGAACACGTTGTCTGCTGGCTTGTCTCGCGTTTTAATGGTTTTTCTACAGGTTGGCTCCCGGTTTTTGGAGCACTCGTGAGCAAGTTTTGCCAACCTGAAACCACACCAGACGTGAGCACTGGTGGTGTGGATTGCATGATTCACTTGCTAAAGTTGCACGCCGACCCCAAGGATGTGACTGGATTTCTTGATGAGCATCCTGCAGGCAGGAACATCATTTTGCTGCATGGAGGCAAGGACTGCACGAAAGAGTTCCTGGAGGTTCACAGTGAGGACGGCTTCTTCTCGAACAGATCTCGTTAAGTAAAGAGGAAGAACCGCTGCAGAAGGCCGATCGCAAAAGGGCTCTGCAACTGCCCGGAGGACTACATTCTTGCGTTTGCCCCCAACTCCTTCGTGGGATGCCTTGAAGGGTCTTCCGCACTGGCCCCGAAGAAGCCAGCCAATGTGCCGGTGCCTGCCCAAGAGCCATCTTCTGCTTCAGGACTCAGAACACTGTCCAGCTTTGGTGGCATCTGCATGTCGCTCAGGTCCATTTCGACAGCAGCAAAATCCTGGCGCTGAAGCGCAACGTGTATGGCGATGAGCACGAAGCATACCGAGCTTCATTCAGGACTCACCCGCTCGTAGCTTGCCGGAGATTCCCCTTGCAAGCCGCTATTGGCATGCCTTGCGAATGCCTGAGAAACACAGCTTGAAGCCAGGACTTTCCTGCAGAAATACGTGCAGCCTGAGTATGCCAAGTTTGAAGCAAAAGGTGTTGTTGACAGAGAAGTTTATTCCAAGATGGCCCAAGAGGGCTTTTACCTTACGCTTGGCATCCCTTCAGCGTGTGGGGGTCGTGGGCTTGACTGGAAACACAACTGTGTCGTGGTCGAAGAAGTGGAGGATCTTGGGTGTGGAGGCCTCTTCGTAAACCTTGGCAATGATATGGTCTTGTCCTACTTTACAGAGAGCTGTACGAACGAGCAGCGAGCTCGCTGGCTACCGAAGCTGAGACGTGGAGCTGCGCCTTAGCAAGATTAGGCATCATGCGCGCGCGCGCGTGTGTGTGTGTGTGTGTGCGTGCGCGCGACTTCGTCCTAATTTTCCCTGGCGTCTTTAGGTAATTGCAGTGGCGATGTCCGAGCCAGAAGTTGGCAGTGACTTGGGCCAGCTTTCCTGTCGCGCGACGCCTTCGCCCAACGGAGGATGGACTGTGAACGGAAGGAAAATGTGGATCTCCAGTGGTGCTGTGGCGGAACTGACCGTTGTAGCATGTGTCACCGATCCGACCAAAGGGGCCAAGGGAATTTCCATGCTCGTCATTGAGTCGGAGATGCCGGGTGTGAGTTGCGCCAAGCGCTTCGGCAAACTGGGGAAGCATGCCAGTGACACCTGCCTCATCACTTTGGAAGATGTGCATGTACCCCGAGAAAACCTGGTAGGCGAAGAGGGGAAGGGTTTTCAGTACATGATGCAGCACTTGCCTCGAGAACGTCTTTCCATCGCGGTGGCGAGCATGGCCGCGGCACGGAGGGCCTTGGCTTTGGCGGTGAACTATGTGCATGGCCGCGCAGCCTTCGGTGCGAATCTGGGAACTCTCCAAGCTGTGCAGCAAGAGCTGGCCAAGATTCGGACGGAAGTGCAAGTCGGCACTACTTTTGTGGACCGATGCATTGCGGATGCCTGCCAGAAGCAGCTTTCTGCTGAGGCGGCCTCCATGGCTAAGCCTTTCGGCAGACATTCTTCCGAGCTTGCCACTGCATATTCTGGCTGTGCTGCATCGCACTCCGAGGTTCTTTGCCACAGACCTTAGCTTTCGTGTGGCCGATCGGTGCCAGCAACTCTTCGGAGGAGCTCCGGTGGTTTTCGACTGTTGTGATTTTGATACTCTACGTCTGCTATGTCGATCTGTGAGGATATGGCTATTTGAAAAATTCGCCAATTGGCAAGATCATGGTGGACCAAAGAGTCACAAGCCCGCGCCTAGGTCCTTGCAGAGCACTTGCAGCAGTGTGGCCAGGGTGAATCAGAAGCTGCGTGCGCTGAGGAGTTTATGGCGGCGCAAACGAAGTGCAGCTTGAAATCATTTCTAAAGGCTTGGGGTTTAAGCCCCAGCGCGCGAGCAGGCTGTGACTTCGGACAGTTGTGCGCTCTCGACTCCGAAAAGGTAGTTCGTGGAGTTTCGTATCTGGTTAAGGCGATGGATAGACCTGAAAGCCATGCATGGGGTTTGCTGAGAGCCACAGCCCGGCCGAGATTTCAGTTTGACATATCTGACACCACCCAGCCATGCTTTTATCTGGAAGGAGCAGTCATAGATTGTCGCGCTTACCAGTCCGACATAGACATTTCGCTAGTAGTCCTTGGCACGCATTCCAGCAGATCGGCAGATGTATTCTGCATAGAGCTTCCTGTTGCGGCCCGATGCCCGCAGAGGTGCAAGAAGGCACTCGAGCCTCAGGAAGCGCATCTGACGTGAAGCGATGCGTGTCGTGTGGTGAGGTGCTCCTATCAGGGTGGCCGAAGCCTCTGAGGAGAGAGCGGAGAGCCTCAGACATCGCTGAGCTCTGTGAGGTACATCTGCAGGCTCGAGGTGCCAAGCAGACAGTCCTGGATCCGGCAGTCCGCTCAGCCCTGGTTTCAAGGGCCAGGGGCCACAGCCGACGCAGCTCAGGTTCATGCGGAGTTGCGGTTCCTGTCGAAGTGGCGGCCGCACCTTCCTCTGAAATTCGCCAGCATCCAAGATCTGTGGACTCCTGTTGTGGAAAACTCGGACATTGCCTGGCACCTGAGGAAGGGTCCAGCTATCCCACGATCGCTGCGCTTGGGTGCGCCTGTTTCGAAGCCCCGAATCTCGTGTCTTCCCACTTGTTCTTGTCGGACGTGTCAATGATGTCCAGTTTTGTCAAGCAGGGGTTCCTGAGGCTCTGAGCATGTTTGAGGGCCGCTGTGTGAACCTTCGTCCGAACTCCGTGACAAGAGCGAAGTCGCTCAACAAGTGGAGTCCCCGACCCTGCTGCGTGCACACTGTTTTCCTTTTCTCAGACTGACTCTGTTTCTGAGCCTCCAAAGCCCACCGGCAAACATGTCTCCATCCAGGCAACTTCCGGCTGCTTTATCAGCAAACCACGGTGTGGTCGCTCGCAAGGACGTCTTGACATCGGCAGTTGAATCTGTACAGCTGAATGTTGACTCTGTTCAGCTTCTTCTATGGAGGACCTGAGGCAGCTCTTAGCCACGGCCCATGTCGAAGTGCGATGCAGAGCCTTCAGTTGCAGACATTGAGCCTGCTGAGGCAAACGTGGATCCCCAGGGATACGGGGCAGCCCTCGCTTCAGATGATGAAGCTTTCTTGCACCTTCTAGGCCTGCGAGAGTGTCGAAGCACGAACACGACCAAGAGTCGAGCCAACTCCTCCTTCAGATCGAATTGGGATCCTGATTGCGGCACTGCTGTACCAAGACGCAAGTGTGCAAGCCTTACAGTTACACTTCCTTGCAGTTCACCCGGATGTGACAGGCCAGATGTTGAAAGCAGAACCCCTTTGTCCCAGATCTGGGAAGCGCACACACGACCGACCCTGCTCTGCTCCGCGCCGCCTGGCTTTGGCACTGCCATGACCCCGAGCTCCAAGCTCCCGAAAGAGCTCCCACCGAAAGTGCCGACCGAGCCGAGGTCACGGCCTTGACGGAGCGCCGGCGCCAGAAGCAGCGGCTCCAGGAGGCGGCGGGAGCAACAGCCACGGCGGGGGATTTAAGGACCGCGTTGCAGGCCATGGCGTCACGCGGTCTCCCCGCCGCCGAGATCCAGAGCAGTTTGATCCTGGAGCTGCGAACAGCGTTGGAGGCAGCACTTTGCCACCAGAGCGCTGCAGCGGACCCAGAATCAGCCAGGCCCTGTCAGAACGACTCGGCGACCAAAGCTTCGGAAAAGGACTGCGAGCATGCGAGCTCACGTGCTTTTTCCGAGCAAGTTGTCCTCTTCTGCTAGGAGGTGACAAGCAAGCTGGCAGTGATCGTGAAGACAGGACTTGACTCTGGCTTCTGCATCGGATCCGGGTTGAGCTGGCATGAGCCTCCAGGCATGGGTTCAGCCGCCTCGATGCACGAGCTTACGCGCTCCGAACTCGGCTGTTGACTGCAGAGCTTGGCAGTTGCAAAGTTCCCATGTCTCCGGACTGTCCGAAGTGTCGGGCTCGAAGACCGACCCCGGTGTCCTTGCAGCGGAGCGCTTCCCTAGGAAGTCTCCCTTGTACAGATGAAGACCGTGTACCTGCTGAGGCATGGAGAAGCACTTCACAACTTGGTCGACAAAGGTGCCGGCAGCTACGAACGACGCAGGGACCCCTCCTTGGCGGACCCTCCCCTCACAGACAAGGGCACCTCTCAGGCATTGGCTGCCAGAGATCTGCTTGAAAAGGATGCCTGGCTGAAGCTCAGATTCGGTAAGTTAGGGACTTGCGGGTGATTTGCATGGAGCTTTGTCTTCTAAAGTTTCACTGGTGGATGGCATCTGAGAACGGACTTCCTGTCCTTCATGCATCAACGAATTCCATTCTATGCCTGGAAGCGCACTGGAAGGGCTTTGTAGATCGTTCGTGTTTCGCATCTTCCTCGTTCGATCTGCATTCGCTCAAGACGCGATGCCCCCTGCGAGTACGTCCTCCGATGAGAAGTGCAGGTACACTGTCGAGAACACTTGTTTTCCGAGCCGTCCCTTCGAAGGCAACACCTGCAGTGGGCTTCGCTCTGCAGCGCAGAAGATGCATTGCGTGATATTGCGCGGTTCTGTGCATCTGAAGGGCGGGGGGGGGGGGGGAGGCGGGTTGGGGGGGTCCAGTAACTTGCAGTTCGGGGGCCCCCTTGCAGTTCTGTTTTATAGACCACAAGGCGCATCATGAAGATTCATGAATGATGCAGATGCACACATCGACTCCACCTCTGAGCCCACTCAAAGCATCCATGCATTTTAGGATCCCGAGTTTGGTGCTTCTCTGCCGGTATGACTCCGATTAAACTTTCTTGTACAAAGAGCCGCTAGTGGGTCCAGCGGCTTGATGCACGCACGACGTATGAGCTAGTCTTGTGGTTGCGATGTGTTTCATTCAATCTCAACTTGGGTTCAATCTTGAGACGGTTGTTGGATTACACTTTCCGAACCCACAGGCTTTGAGCGAGCGTGGCGAAGGGAAATTTGACGCGATTGTGAGCTCCACACTGCAGCGTGCCTTACAAACCGCCGAACTGGCGATGCTGCCACTGAAAGCAGAGAATGCCCCTGTAATCGCATTAGACCAAATGGTCGAAATCCAGTGTGATGACGTTTGGAACGAGTCGCGACACAAAGACGAGGTCCAACGAGACTGGCCTTCATGGGAATTAGAATTTGCAGCCAGTGAAGCAACACATCCGTTTCGATTGCTGGACACAGCACAGTCGCTCATTAGACGTGCTGAATTCGTGTGGAACTACCTGATGCAGTTGCCAGGGTCTGTCATCGGCGTGGCTGCGCACGGATGTATCCTTTTCTTCCTTTCTCGACGGATAGCTGCTTCCAAGGGACATCGCATGCCGCCTTTCAAGGAGGACAGATGGCAGAATGGTGAGGTTCGTCGATACATACTCCCGCCTGCCGATGGGATGGCCATGACCTGGACAGAGTATGGCGGCTATCTCGACATGATGGATTATGACTTTTACAATCGATATCACCGCCGTGCGTCCTTCGTGAATGTCGCTCGACTGCGGGGATTCGAGGCTGAGATATGGTGGCTGGCGGCAGAGTGGCGCTGGTCCCGCTGCGACTCGGAGATTGAGGCGGAGCTTGAGAAAATCGAAGTGGCCAATTCGTTCTCTTTTCCATCCTTCCTGAGCGCAGAGGCCATCGCCAAGTGCTGCTTTGCACGAATCAAAGCATAAGACAGCCCAGTGCTACAGAGGGCTTGACGAGTTCCTTTTAGATGTCGGCGACGAGGCATAGCCTTGCTCGCCGCTTAGAATACCGACTTAGCGCGAACGGGATTACAGATTTGGCGCAGGGCAGAGCCCAAAAGCAACGAGCTTCGTTGATGTCATCGGTAGCCGTGCGGACTCCAGTGCTGCGTTAGCTTACGTGAGCTCTCAGGCATCTCGTGGTCCTTTTCAGCATTCCGTGTGATCCGGGATCCTGCCTCGCACCTGCACCTGCTGAAACTTTGGTGTGCATCATCGTCCGCTGGGTGTCGGGGACTTGGCTGAGCAAAGGCCTTCAGCGCTTGATCGCGCCTCAGTGTCTGTTCCTGTCGGAGTTTTTCATGTGCTTGCGGTGGCCTTGTCGGTCTGTGCCTTTCCAACTATCTGAAGGTTGTGCGACTTTCCGTCTTTGTCACGATTTGTCGGCCTTGTTGAAGAAAGGCGGCAACTATGAGTTTGTGTAGTTACCTTGACATGCCTGTGGTTTCGTCACAGGCTGCCCGGCACGTGGCCAGACTATTCCACCTTCATGCTGGCCTGGCAGCCACATCTGCCGCCAAGCGCTTGTTCGGCTCTGGCGGCTGCCGAGGCTCTGCCTCCCGAAGATCGCCCGCCGCCTCCGCCCCAAAGTCAGGGAAGCGCCGGCGGCCCAGAAGCGGACCACAGCGGAGCACAGCGGCCTTCTCCCAGATGCCATGCGATGCCATGCTGCCCTGGCCGTGTTTTCAGGTGCTGGCGGGCCCCGTTGAGAAGAGGAGACCGGAATGGCGCGGCGCCGGACGGGCAGAGCGGAGCCGAACAAGTGTTGCTTTCCCTTCCGAGGTGGGAGCTCTGGGGACCGCACCTCAGTGAGCCTCACCAAGCCGAAAAGACGAAAAGCCTTCGGAGAGGCTGGTCCTGGGGAGGCCGCAAACGTCCCGTGCAGTTTGGCGGACCAGGCCGTCTCTCCTGCTCTGCGAGCCATGTCTTTGACAGTCTCTCGTCTCTTCACAATCTTCACAGCACCAGACTTGGATGCGTGCCATCTTATGCATCATGCTGGCCACTGCTGCATGTTGCATGCAGGAAAGGCACCGCCTGCCATTTATGCCATCTGCTTCGGAATGGTCACCAGCTTAGTCGCAAGGAGAGCTCGGCGGATACCGAAAGACTCGTTCTATGTCTTGCTTTGGAGGCTTTTGCTACCATACTTGTCCAGGGGTCAGGAAGGCCGACAGCTCTGTCAAGTCTGAGTTTGATGGGTTACCGTACCCGCCTCCGGGAGAAGCAGGGAGATCCTTAGACAGTAGACAGTTGCAGCTGCGGCAGTAGCCCGGCAAGATGTCTGAGGCATCCGGCCTTTCGTTTGCCGCGGCGCTTGCGTGCGGACTTGGTCCCGGGAGGCCCTTCGCAGCGCATCGCAGCGCATGAGTGCTCGTTTTGTTTCAGTGCACTGCCTCATCGTTCTAGACCAAGTGAAACTGTCACATGGCTTCTGTTGGATTTTGCTCAAAATCAAAGCCTGACATGAATGGCTTCGATCCGTAACCGGGTGCCTAGATGCCTTCTTTGGAGGAGGCTCCCCTCGTGAGCTCGCGGACCTTGGAAGTAGATGAGGGCTCCCTCAGCCAGTCCACGCGTCCAACGCTCGTCAAGGCGCCTTTGAAGCGTTTTGCTCCGGCCTGCGGCCTCGGCTTAGGCTAAGCACTGCCGTGCTCGTTGCGTGCATGCGGAGGTGTTGCAGAGGAGTTGGAGCCACATTGGCTGGCTCTGCATTTCTCTCTCCGCGATATGTTGCGCCATCGGTTTAAGCTCAGTGGCTTCAGGCAGACAGCTACAGCAGCTGCGGACGACGGCCGTCCGGATGGACGAGAAAGCTGCAGTTTTACCAATGCCAGATCTATTCTGCTTCACGGTCATGGGAGTACCTGCCCGGGAACAAGGACTCCTTCTGTCGCAGAAGAGCAAGCACAAAGGACCTCAAGCTTTTCCAACAGTTTTCGTTTGCCAGCATTAGGGGACTTGACCTTCTATGCAGGGTGTCGCCAACTTCAGGACTCTTCGAATGTCCAGATTGGGCAGTTTTCGCATCCACGAAGATACCGCCTTGTTCCCATGTGATTGAAGGCCTTCAGACGCAGGTCCCAAGCGGCGGGCAATGGAATACTGCTCTCAACACACCAGTCTTTGCTGCCATCTGGAAGAAGGTGCTGGAGCTCCCAGAATTCAAAGCCCATGCCTGGACCGTGAAGCTGGATCCTGACACCGTCTTCCTCCCGGCCCGACTCGAAAGCTTTCTGCCCAAGAACGCTGCACCAACTTTTCTGGTCAACTGCAACGAGGGATTACATGGCCCCATCGAAGTGGTGTCTAAAGCAGCTGTGGAGAATGTCCAGTGGGAGACTTGCATGTCAAAACTCTAGTTTCGCCTTTGCATCCTGTCTTGCAGGCTCTGCCCTTCAGGAGTGGTGAAGTAATCTTATGTTTCTTGCGAACGTGTCTTGCTTCAGCGGTCTTCTTCTCTGATTGTCCATGCAGTGCAGCCGAAGTGACTTAAACTTCCTGTTTCAATTTGCTGTCATTGCTGCCTGTTACCGTTTAGTTGACCAGGAGACATGCTTGCTGCATGTGTTGGGATGGTTCAGGGTGGGGCACTTCCGCTTGGGTTCTTGCTGACCTTCTGTCGACTTGGAAGTGCAAGCCATGAAATTCTCATGTGGCCTCCAGCTGAGGAAACATGCGGCAACATCCAGCAAGAGGACCTGAGGAGTCTTGAGGTTTGGATTGAAGAAGCCGACACCCTCTAGCTAAGTTGCTACTGTACAGCTGGACTCGCAAGCATAATGCAAGCAGAGAGGTTTGTGGCCTCTAATTCCTGCTCCAGGACCTGTGGCTCCAAAGTTGTTTGTTCCGATCGGGGGCTTTACCCCGGCCGGCCTTCCCTGGAATGCTCCTGGAGAAGGGATGCGTTCCCAGAATCCAGGCCAGCTGCGGACGCTCACTCAGTCTGATCGGTGCGTTTGTTCCCAGCAGAGTTCAGTACAACTGCTGAAACCCCCGATGTGGCGGCCAAGGTACGGCGAATGTGGCTTTTCATCCGAAGAAGACGTTTCCTGAGTGGTGGAGCTGTTGGCTACAAGCTTTCGCTTTCCCACAGCCGGGCTGGACAGGCGAGGTCCGCAACACGCGCTGTGAGCCTGGAGCAGGTGGGGGGCCTTCCATGAGTACTGACCCAGTTCATGAGCTTGCATGTTGCTGCAGGAGGACGCGGCGTGCACATGCACAAACCATGCAAGCATGGACGGACGTTTCACGCAAGCACTGACATGCGGTCGTTGGCTTGGCACGTTGAGGTACTGTTGCACCGATGCAGGCATGGCGGCATGCACGCATCCATGCATGCCATGCATAAATGCTTGAGACTACCAGACCGCACATTCTGTCCACTCATGAATGCGAATACTTGCAAGACGCGAGCACATTAGGCACAGACTCGCGATTGAATCTCGCAAGATCAATTGAATCAAGACTCAAGCTCCCATTGGGACAGAGACGAAAGGATATTGCCGATTGCGTCTGTTCCTCGGAGTTGAAACGACGTTGAATCCACGTCGTGTTCGTCGTGAGTGGGTCCTCCTGCCCAGCGGTGCGGTGTGAATTTTTCCTGCGGCCTGTCACACAGAGACGAAGAGCAAGTGTAGAGATAGCCAATGAGAGCGAGGCGCAGCGCCAGGGAGACCTCGGCTTTTCGCTTCTGTCGTTGCTTCCGGGCCGACAGCCAAAACTCTACCCTCAAGTCTTGCTGTGGCTCCTGCGAAGACTCAAAGTGCAGCCGAGCTTGCGGTCGCAAACCGGTCGGGAGAGCCTTCAAGACCCAGACCACGGAGGTACGAGGTGAGATGCGAGGGAGGGAGACAGATGAGACCGCTGCAGATTTCACAGAGGCGGCGACACCATTCCCGGGCAAGCAGAGCCTTTCTCGAAGTCGATGTCTCCAGCGGACTGTTCCTTGCGCTGCAAGAAGCAACAGGATCTCAGGAAGGACACGACTGCTCGCACCGACCCCTGCACGGAGAAGCCAAGGCCAACGTGCATGTGAGCGTGTTCAAGCCTGTGAGGCTGTCGTTTGGCATCGGTCAGTTGAGGGCACAGCATTACTAGAGCTCTGCTAAGTGCGGTCGAAGTGAACCGAGGTAATCATTCTGGAGAGCCAGGATCCAACCCCATGCCAGATGCGCACGAATCTGGAGCTCTCGAAATGTGTGGCCGCAAGCGGATACAGCGTTTGGGCGAAACCCTTGCCAACAACCACAACTGCATCAGCGACAACGGTGGCATCTACGACAACTGCGACTGCGGTCGGAAGAAGCATGCCGAGAATCGCCCCGAACCAGGCGAGGACTAGGGAGGTGCTGTGAGTGCTCTGTTGGCCGTACTGATTGACTTTCTCATCCCTAAGGCTACAACGACATCTTCACCTTCGAATACCAGCCATACAACTGCAAAATCCAAAGATGATTTGCGAGAAGATCTTGGTACTTGGCAAGAGTGGGGGTCGCTGAATTGCTTCCACAGCTTTGCTTCAGAGCCGATCTCCGTCCCCTCGTATGTGGCTGAGAACTTGGAGGACTGCCTGTCGGAATGCGTCGAGCACAGGGACTGCGATGCTGTGGTTTATGCCGTGGATAACAAGAGATGCTGGCTACGACAAAATCTTGACATAGACAAGTGCAGCATCAGCGATCGTTATCGGATCCTCGTTCGGCCACACAGGAATTCCCGACGAACGGAGAAATCCGTATAGCAGACTTTTCCCGCTTTGGCCTCGTCATTTAGCTGTGATTTATGGACCGTCAAAGACGACTTTAGTAGTGCCTGTCGCTGGTTTTTCGGAGTACAAGCCGCAGGCTCCAAGAGGGAACTTGGCAAGCCCAAGGCTGCCATGCCCTTTCAGATCAGACCAGAGCTTCTTTGCCGTGACAGGGGTTGCAAAAGTCGAGCCCGTGCCGCCATGCCCAGAACTTCTGTCGCGTGTTTTTGTGGCAGGCCCCTGGCTTTGCTGAAGCAGCTCGCAGAAGCCTTCGCTGATGCCGATGTCCAATGAGCTAGTGCTCATCTTGATGTGCAGAAAGAGGTCTTGCATTTGGTGCAGTCTGTGAGAGAGCAGGCCATCTGGCAAAGTGTCGGACGATCCAGCCCCAGTTAAGCTGGCTCCAGGAGGCTCGTAGGCCAGAGTGATTTTCTTGGCTGCAATCTCTACTCTACTAGCGGGGACAAGCACGCCAGTGCTTCCAGAGGGTGTGCTCCAGCATCAGTGCAGCTGTTGCCATGTCGCTGGCCGCCTTCGCAGCTCCCAGCGCAGGCCGAGGGCTTGGGAGAGATGAGTCACTCTGGGCACTGAACGAAGCCGGGCAAAAGCGCGGCCAGGTGTTGGCAAAGCCAGTCCCGGCCTCTCAGGGCCGGGACTGGAGCGGAGCCATACGCCGGACCGAGAGCATCTCGGTGCGCATGGTGCTGGTCGTGCATTGCTCTGTGCTCCAGCTGTGTGTGCCTTTCTGGCAGCCTTCCGAAACAAGCGCCGCTCAGCTGAGAAATGAAGAATGCACGCACTTCTTACACATGTAAGAAGTGCTACCGCGGCTAGGATTTTCTGAGGGACAAAGAGAAAGAGCGAGAGAAACAGAGAGACAGAGACAACGCGAGTGAGTATAGGTCCATGTGGGAGCTTGGGCTTGGGCTTTGCGGAGACTCGGGGCTCATGAGTTTCACGCAGAACCAGACACGGACGATGGCCTAGCGGCCTAGCGCTGCGCACAGGGCGGCAGGGCCCCAGGGCTGAACTTCCCACACGCCTAGCGAGAGGGAGGACATCGGACTCATTTTTCGGGATAGGAAGGAAGGAACCGAGAAAACTGCGCGCCGAGGCTCCATAAGAAGACAGGCTGCCAAGGAAGATGCGCAGGTGCAGACGATGGAGCGACCACTTCTGGACAACGTGATCACTGCTGGCGTGAAGGCCCAAGGGCTTTGACACGACCCTGCATAAGCCTTGCCGGCTTTAGTATCGGCCTTAACTTAGTCAGGGCTTGGCCTTCAGGCCCTCGAGGCGGCAGAGCTCAAGCGCGTGCGTTCCTCTTCGGAGTCTCCAAGCGATGCGAATGGCAACTGGGGTGGCGAGCCGCGGGACAGCCTGATGCCATCCTCATGCATCACCCACCCTGCAGCAAGCTTAGGGTTGAGGCTTGCGAGGCCATCCAAGGTTTGGGGTGTAGGCTCCTACAGGTAGCGAAGCTTAGCAAAGCACCCTCAGACTTTGGAGGAATGGGCCAATTCGGATTCGATCACGCAGCAGATTTCGACGGTGTCGCAGATGGGCCCTTTGGCGCAGGCCAAGCAGTTCATAGCCGACAGACTCGCCGGGGAGTACGATGCTGAGAGGATAGGAAGCCTCATCGATGAGAAAGTGGCTTCAAACAAGCTCCTCAGCATAGACAGACAGTCTTTCTTCATGTTCTTGATTCTGCTGTCTCGGTGCTCCAGCCTTGGTGCTCCAGCCGCAGACTCGGACAGGATCATGATGTTCTCATTTTCTACCTGTCCCTTCTGCTTGCGCGCGAAACAAATCCTCCAAGAAGACTACGGCGAGGAGATTGAAGTCTACGAGTGTGACCAGGAAGCTGCCACCCGGCACACATTCATATCACTAGGATGACAAGGGTGATCATGATGATGAGGATGATGAGCAGCCCACCCACCCACCCACAACCCACCAACCCACCCACCCACCCAC